AAATCTGTCTGATATGGCTTACCCAGAGAGCTTCAAACGATAACTGGAAGAGGAGAGTGACCAATCTTTAGGATCTTTACGACCTCATCCCAAGCATAAACCCCAAGACAACCAATCCAACAAGGAAGTAGAGTGGGATGGAAGGAAGAAAAATTCACATACAAAGTAGAGGTGGAAGCAAACTCAGGATCAGCCATAAAGGACTCAGATGCCTATTCACTAGTGCTCAGGGCATGAGGAGCAAATAGGGTGAATTTGAGGTCCTAGTTAGTAGATGGCGGCAGGTACAATATAGTTGCCAATACTGAAATTTGGTGGGATGAATCTCATGAATGGAATGTATTGCTGGAAGGATATCAACTATTCAAAAGAAACAGACCTAACAAAAGAAGAGATGGAGTTGCATTATATGTAAGAAATCACTACATCTTTACAGAATTGCATAAAACCAAGGATGAAAGCCTCCTTGAATGCATTTGGGTTAATATAAAAGGAAAAAAGAATGACACTACCATAGGTATATACTACAGCCCCCCCCCCAACCAAGCAGAGGAAATAGATGCTTCTGAATATTATCTCACTTCCCATGATTTAAAGAATGTTTCAGCCCTGCTTGCTTATATAACAGTTTTTGTGTATTTTTGTCAAAGTCACCTTCCTTACTCTCCACCAGCCAAAAGAACCCATTATGTGACAAAAACCTATTTGGATTTCTGTCCAACTTGGGATCAATTCCATTATAAGAGTCTTGGCTTGTAACTGGAGAAGAACATATTTTGATATCTGGTTTTAGGCTTGGACTACCAGGGCATGGAAAATAAAAAAAAAAGGCTGAACAATGAACAATGGCCATATTGAACAAAAAAGAACTAGGCCAGAAGGACACAAGATTCACCTGTTTTCTTAGCTGTTAAATTTCAGTAAAAAAAATTCTAAGATCGTAATGTTGAATATTTACATCACTCCAAAAATGTCTATTGATTACTCTTTTGATATATCGATGAATTTAGGAAAAAAATCCTGACTGAAATAATTCTGACAATTCCTAAGGATATTGTACTTAGGTTATTGTAATGTTAGAATGGGACCATGCAAGATCACATTAATGCCAACAATACAGTATATCAAAATAATTCTTCTTAGTATTACCTTTATGATTCTTTAGTAACCATAAAAGGTTTACTGCTGTCCACCCTAGTACACAAAGGCAACTTTCAAACTTAAAGGGGAAGAGACCAAAGCTTTGTTTATCCCTTTCTTATCAGAAGGGTAAAACAAGCGCATCTTAGGTTATATTTGTGTCTTGATAACAAAGGCTTTCTTTTCTCTGAAACTTAGATTTATGTAAAAGAGAATAGTGGCCCATCCACCAGTTCTGTAACTTTTTATGGGGACTCAGACCTTGGACCCCATAATTCAGATAATTGGTAGTCTTTACTTCATTCAGTGGTATACTAGAAGGATAAAATGGGCCAGAGTGGTAACTGAAGCACTATTTAAATATATGAATACTGAGGAAGCCCCGACTATGGCAGTCATAATTACTTCACCTGAGAAAGGTCTTGATTCTGTTCTTATAGTCTCTGAAAAATTGGGACAGAATTAAGAACATTTGAACTGAAAAAGATTCACTCAAGAGGTTGCAGTTAATAGGAGCTTTATTGGGACAGCTTACATCCTGTGACAATATCTGTTAGCACCATCAAACATCCACATCTACCTATCCCAGGTCTTTGAGAAGGACTTGACAGATGGACAAAAATGCCATATCTAGTCTGAACATCTGGCTGAACATGCAACAAACCATAATAAGGGCGATCCATCTAATTACAAACCAATTAGTCTGATTGACATCACATATCTTTTGCATAATATTCAAGCCTAGGCAATTGAAAAGAGTTTATTAATGAAAGAACAATCCTGTTTTAGACCTCACCACTCTACTATTAACTGTTTCATTTTATGTTATTGTGTAGAAAACTACAATTAAGGACTTAATTGTTTACAACTTCCACAGACTTTGGCACAGGCATTGATTCAATAAACACATACTCTGTAAAAAAATGTTGCCCTCTACATGGAACCTAGATTCTGTATCTGTCCAAGGTCTGAAATACAAACTCTTATTTACAGGTATGTATATGCATGCAAGGCTCCCTAGATGGGAAATTTTGCCCCTCCCCTCACAGAAAGAGATCGAAGAAGAGATTTTAAAAGAGTACTGTACATTTGTTTGCATAACACAGCCATGGTTTCCAACCCCAGACTGTTTTCAATGTTTAGAGGAGCAAACAGCTTGCTCTCTTGAAATCTCTCTCCAATCTTTTGCTCTGTAAGAAAGGGGGGGGGGAACACAGGTCAGGCGTAAGACAAGGCATACTGACTATAATGTGATCATATGACTGAGGGAACACTGAAATGGTTATAAATGGGCCATAAATGGGTTATTTTTTTTCAGCACTGTCACAACTTTGAATGGTTGCTGCATAAATGGTCAGTAAGCAAAGATTACATATAGCTTTGTAGAGAACATACTTGCATATCATTAGAACAATTTCCTTTATATCAAGGGTCCCCAACCCCCAGTTCGTGGACTAGTACTGGTCTGCAGCCAGCTGGGAACTGGGCCACACAAGTGGCAGATATGTTTGCAAAGCTCCATTTGCATATGTGCAGGATTAGGTTGTGTTCCTCCCCCTCCCACCCCCCCTCTGCCACTGCTAGTCCACAGAGCCACAAAGGTTTGTGGAGTGCTGCTTTATATCAAAGACCATACAGGAGAGAATAGAACCTGATGGTTATTCTTCACCTCTGGAATCATCAATGTGCTCCTTTAGGAAACATGGCTGCTAGAGGGAACTAGAAGCTATGGACTACCTTTTGAAATTCTTCCAAATCAATAGAAGAGTCTCCACTGCTATGCCTCTCCTACTTTATTGTAATTTATTGGCACTGGGGCTAAAAACTGGACAGTGAAGATATGTCAGAACCACTGCAAATCTACAATATTCTGCATCTTTTCATTGCTGTTGTATGATTCCATACAAAGCTGGAAACTATGTCAATCCCAAAATTGAATGCAGTGTGTGTGTGTGTGTGTGTGTGTGTGTGTGTGTATGTATGTATGTATGTGTGTGTGTGTGTGTGTGTGTGTATATATATATATATATATATATATATATATATATATATATATATATATATCTTCCCTTTGGCTAGAAAAAAAGGAGACAAATTCATTTCTTTCACAAATGCAACTTTACACACCCACACTCACACATACAAATATATTGCAGGATAATATTACTTCCTTTATTTTAATTTTTCCCTATATTTAGCTGCCTGGTTATCAGGGGCTTTTAAGTTAAACATGCATCCCAAAAATCTGAAATATTATTACTATTGTACTGTTCTTTGTTAAGCTATAGAATAGATATCAAAACTTGATTATTCTGCCATCTACTGATTGAAATAATGTTATAAGAAACTAGTATCTTACTATTAGGCAAATAAAAGTAAGGTCTGTTCTTGAACTAACATTATTTTCAAGTGTGTTTTAGTTATTAATACTGTATTCTTTGTAAAGTAGAACTAGGGGTATTGAAATCAAGATGTTGGACTAGAATGGAAGAGACATAAACTTCTCCATTGACCCTAGTTCCATTAATCTCACAGGTGGTTGTGGAGGGGATAAAATAACAAGGGATCCCTGTATAAATCACATTGAGTCACACTGCCTAGAAGAAATGTAGAATGTTGTATAAATATAATAAGTAACTAAGTCAATGATTCAATCAATGTCATGGATTTTACATTTTATTTCTGCAGTGTGGACTACTCTTCATAAAGCCTCCTTGAAATTGAGCTAAACTGCTGAGATTACATGGAGATTTCCCTATAATTTTCTTGACATTACCTGGTTTGTCCCCCCTCCAAGGTCTAACTATAGTCTATCCTACTTAGTTTTTTTAGATCAGTCATAAGCAGTACCGCCACACTAATTCAATCACATTTTCAATCACATGGCATTTTAAAATAAGGCAGAAAAGCCAAACATTGGTTAAGATGCCTTAAAAATAATAAAGATGGGATACAAATATATAAATAAAATAAAAATGTTTATCAGATAAACTGCTTTACTGTAATCAGTTTACAGAGCATGAAAACATATTAATTCTTCAACGTTTGCTGTTTGCATTCTTTCCCACCCAGTGAACTGAGCTTGAGATTCTATATACCTGTCTTTAGGCAGGACAACGCTTGGGGATCTGAAAAGAAATGGGTCAAAATTGGTGTGAGGGAAAAACCAGCAAAATAAAATTCAAGTTGGAAAATGGGCCCAATCCAGCCAGAGCCAGCAAAGAAAAAAAAAATCCTAAAACAATATGCCCAGTACTTTCTACTGAAAAATCATTTGACCTGCCGTTTGGAACGTTGTTGATTTCTCCACTCTAAGGCTGCGCTTCCTCCTTCCGAGTCATGTGACCAAACATAGAACTATCATTAAGAGATTGGAAACAATGTCAGAACAATTCCAGAATCTGTTCTCTGAATCTTTGCTGTATTTGTTCCAACACCTACTAGTCAGGCCTTCCTTTTTTTTTTTAAACTCATGATGTAATTCCTCCATGTCCCACAGCCAAACCACAGAAATGAAATTTCTCTGATGGTCCAAATCAGCCTTCCCCTATTTGAGTGTTTGCTGGTTGTGGACGTCAACTCCCAGAATTGCTAGCTGGGGAGTTCTGGAAGTCCACACGTCTTAAAGTTGCTGAGATTGAGAAACAGGGTTCTGAAGCAACTCTGATGCATAAAGGATCCTTAGAAAAGAAAAACAGGAACGCTCAGCGCTTCTTTGTCTCCGCTTCGGAAAAGTGTGCCCGGAAGCGTCTGGACTACAACTCCCACAATGCTTCGTAGGCGGGGAGCTCTACTCGATAAGTGAGAGCGGAGCTCATTGGTGAGCGAATCAGGGCAGCCGCAGGCCTATCAGCTCGTCTTTCATTGTGCGGTGGCAGCAACCGACATACACACATTAAGGCGAGAGCCGCCCAGGGGGCCGTTCGTACATCTCTTGCTGCTGCCGCTGCCCACCGTCCGCCCTTGCAGACGGGCTCTTGCGCTCTTCCGCGGAGCAGAGACGCAGCCATGAATCTGGGGTAAGGAAGCGAAGCCCTGCCGCGATCCCAGGGCGGCGAGACGTTCTTGGGTGATCTCGTCCTTTCGAGTGAGAGCTGGCAGGGGGTGAAATCCTCTGCCCTCCAGCCGGAGCGAGCTCCACGAAGCCACTGAGATCATTCCTGTTGAAGCCTGATGTGGCTTTTCCAGAGATTGCGAGAGCTGCTCCTGCCTAGCTATGCCCGCTGGGCCCCGTCCCTTTCGCGTGGCAAGTACTGGGCTCGCTTTATTGTGCAGTCTTTATCAATCTTGCAAACGACACGGTGCTAGTGATGTTGAGACTTGGCTGAGGTAGGCATGCCGGCTGCCCTAGTCCACGCCAGGAGCTGGACAGCTTCAGCTGCAGGTTTTCTGTATGTTGCGTTCAAGCCACAAGAGTGGACTGCGACGTTTTTGATAACCCCAGATATTTGGAAATAAATTTATTGAGTACTGACGAGAGTCATATAGACTAGAATTCATCAATTTCATTTTTATTATCAGCCCGGTGAATTCATGTTGCCATTCTTTTTATTAGAAAAAAAAGCACTCAAAGGCAAATCACATTCCAAGGAAAATAATTGCTCTATTTAACAACAACAACAAAATATTGGTGTGAGGAAACGGGGGAAAGGGCTGGGCAAAGAACTACGATCAGTAGGCTCTATGAGAGGTGTTAGCAGGAGTTTCGTGAATGTGGAGAAGACCACACGTCTGGCTGTGAACAATTGCATTCACCAGATTGCATCACATTCAACAGAATTCCTTACCAGTATTAGATGTGGGAGAATTTCCACATGGAACCTCCTAACTACCAACTATCAACATATTCTTTTTGAAAATAGAAAAACATTTAGAACATTCATATTAAAAATATTAACAGTTGCGAAATGCTATCTAGACCATTGTGCATGAATGAGGTAGGTCATTGTTCTATAATACACTTGTGTATAAGCATGAAAGCAGAAGAGTTTTGTAGATGTTTTCCAAGGAACAGAAAAGGTATTCTATGTGCGACTTTCAGATGTTTAGGTGCAATATCACATTTGTCTCTTCAAGCTTGATAAGGCACTTTCCCCTAATTTGATTATTGGAGAAATACTTTATTAGATTAGGGTCTTGCAGATGACATTTGTGCCTTTATAACTTAAAGTATGATTACTGTTCAAATATAGCATAGTATGTGGTTAAAGGCTGTGGCTTCCTTCCTTGCAGCAAGTAATTATTTGGAGCACAGGATTATTTGGTTGTAGATTGCTTTAGATTTCCCAGCATAATTCAGGTCATGTTTAACTGTGGTCTTTTTGTGATTCAACAAATAAAATGTGCAAAAATGGACATCCAGTCTGTTATTCATAGCCACTATTAGCAGCTCATTTCTGTTTCACCCCTATGTTTCTCTGCATGAGAGAGCTGTTATTTGAAATAACTATGAGGTTTTATAATAGTGATGACTGAAGCCTTCTTTCTCCTACTCTACAGATTTACAATTATTTGCAGAGGCTTTATTCTGCGAAAGGAAAGATAAGAGAAGGCTATGTTTACACATGCTAAGCTAGGAAGTTTTAGCTACAGTTTGTTAAACAAACAAAGCTATGTTTTAATATAGTGTGTAAATACAGCTACAAATTCCACAGTGAACCATGGAGACCAAATGTGGTCTCTGAGCTTAATTGTTGCTGCTTTTCTAAACCAGTCAATCTAAAGTTCTAAAATCAGCTGTGAATAAAAGTATTTCAAAACTTATGTTTTCTTTCCTTTCCCCATCCCTATGTGAAAGAATTTTTTTTAAAGGCCCTGTGATACTGTCTGGAAGCAGACATATACAGCATAAGTGATGATTTTCCTAGTTCTCCTCCCAGGAGGATAGAAACACCTAAGCTTAAGGATCAGAGGTTTATGCCATTTTCAATCACCTCAATGAAATAGTTTTTGGGAAGCTTGGTTCTTTTATAGCTTCCATGAACTTTTAAGACTAAATTAGTTGGCAGCATAGTCCCAGTGCAAATACAACAGTTAGCAATTTGTTTTCTGATAGCAGAATGATTATAACAATTTTTATTTGATAATCGGGGTTTATTATTGGATTTTAGTATCCTGTCTTGTTGGCATTTTAGTTATAGTAATGTATATATTGTAATATGCATAGTGAGGTTAGATCTGGTTGTAAAAGTATGCAATCACCAAAAGTAGAAGATGTTTCTAATTTTCAAAGATGCTTCCCGCTTCATAGCCAGGTAAGCTGGATCTGAACCATTTCATAAAGATTGCTGCTTCTTTTAAGATATTATATATGTGTAATGACTTTTTACTCCTGTAAAATGATTTTTTTACACCTGTTATCTCTAAAATGACTTTTTTTAAATGGGAAAATCTTTTTCTAGTCAGTTTGACTTAAATATAGTGATAGCTTTTTTCCCCACTAAACTGGATAATTTCCATTCTGTATAATTTATTATTGTTTTTTTAGGAATTTAAGGAAAGGGGGAATTCTAAAAGTGGAAAGGAGAAAAAACTAAAATGTGTCAGATTGTATATAGTAATCATTTTTCTTTAGGATCTTTATTTTGTACAAACACAGAAATAGGCTTTATTGTTTTATTTAAAAATTATGCTCCATAATTTTTCCAAGCTGATTTCAATTATAGAAACAGTTCACCTTTTTTTCTTTTTTGATTACAGGGACGGTTTAAAGCTTGAAACTGAAATACTGGATGGAAAACCTAGACTGATAGTGGCTCCTTGTGGTATGATTACTCTTATATATAAAATTAGTCCACATTAATGATTACCACCAATTTTTGGATTGCTTCTTTTTTAAAAAAAAACCTTCAGTTTTTAAACCACTTAGTCATATATATTCTAATTGTTTGGATTATTTTTCTCTGATACTTCAGAAAGCAGTAATTTTCCCCAACTTAGTTCCCCCACAGATATGCAGACTTGAATCCCCCAAATTCTTAACAATCACCACACTGATACTGTGTTTCCCCGAAAGTAAGACCTACCCCGAAAATAAGCCCTAGTTTGGGGGTGAGGCACACGCCTAAAAATCAAGCTAGGGCAGGGTGGGGGGTGTAGCTGCTCCATATGCCCCATATCCACTTACCGTTGCAGCCAGGCCTCCCATGAATCGATGCCTCGCCTCACCAGCCCACTTCTTCAGCCACTTGCCACTCACACGCATCACTCCTGACCTCCATTTCGCCGTCAGACGCCTTCAGGAAATAGCAATAGCACTTAGACTTATATACCACTTCACAGTGCTTTACAGCCCTCTCTGTGGTTTACAGAGTCAGCATATTGCCCCCAACAAGGAGCAATATAGGAGCCGAGATGGCGCAGCAGTTAGAGTGCAGTACTGCAGGCCACTTTAGCTGACTGTGTTCAGCAGGTCAGCGGTTCAAATCTCACCGGCTCAAGGTTGACTCAGCCTTTCATCCTTCCGAGGTAGGTAAAATGAGGACCCAGATTGTTGGGGGCAATATAAATATATATATACATTGCTTACTGGTGTACACCACTTAGAGAGTGCTTACACTTAAAGCGGTATATAAGTCTCATAAATAAATAAACAAACAAACAAACAATCTGGGCCCTCAATTTAGCAACCTCGGAAGGATGGAAGGCTGAGTCAGCTTTGAGCCAGTGAGACTCGAACTGCCGAACTGCTGGCAGCCAGCAGTCAGCAGAAGTAGTCTGCAGTACTGCATTCTAAATGTTTTTGCAACTGAGAATGGAGCTTCAGATTGAATCCATAGCTCAATTCTTGGCTGCAGAGGGCTTTCCAGAAGGCCTTTGATAGCAAAATGCAGGCCGGGGAGCACCGTGCACATCAAACCAGAGCTCCATTCTCAGCTGCAGAGGCATTTCCTGAAGACCTCTGATGGCGAAATGGAGGCCAGGGGTGATGCGTGCGAGTGATGGCGAGTGGCCACAGAAGAAGTGGGCCAGCTGGGCGGGCCTATTGGTGGCACTGCTGCGAGGTGAGACCGAGAAAAAGACACCCCCCAAAAATAAGACCTCGTGCCTCTTTTGGAGGCAAAAAAAAGAAGACTGGGTCTTATTTTCTGGGAAACACAGTAGAAGAGAATATTTGTAGCTCAAGGTTGAACTGTGGGGTCCTTGGTGTACTCTGAGTTTAGTGGTTTTCTTGCAGATGTTTCATTAACAGTTGTTACCCACTTTGGTAATGAAACATCTGCAAGAAATCCACCAAGGTAGTTATGAGGGCACCAAGAATCCCACAACACCATACCCACTATGAATTCTGAGAGTTCAGAATTCATGAACATGGAAGACATTTAAATTGGAAAATGTAGGATCCTTGGTGCTGTCTAAGCATGGAGATTTTCTTGCAAATATTTCACTATCGCATTAGGTAACTTCATCAGTGCTAGGACTGATGAGTATTAGCACTGATGATGATACCTAGTTTGGTAATGAAATATCTGCAAGAAAATCTTCAAGCTCAGAGAGTGCCAAGGATCCAACAGTTCAACTATGAGCTACAAATATTCTCTTCTAGTTTGGAAAAGATAGATATGTGGTTACATTGAAGAGAGTAGCACAATCACTTGGAATAAACACAAACTTTCTATGAAACATAAGGCAGCTTCAGTCACCATCATTTTTAAGTATCTGTCTGTATATTTATTAGAACTATCATTTAGTAAATAGTCATAATTTATATCAAAGGTAGAGGAATCATGACCCTGGAACAGTGTTTTCAACCTTTGGTTTTCCCCCTGCCCTCAACTCATAGCTGCTAATAATTGACAGGGTAGCCCAGATATCATACAACATATGTGAAAACTAGTATTAGTCCCTAAAAGAGGAATATTTCATATAAGTATAAGAACTGTCTGATTTACAGAAATTTAGGAACAGAAGCTTCATATTTCAACTTATGTATGATTGAGATTAAAATGTAAATCCTTTTATTTTTAAAAATTTGGAGCTGTCCCACTCCCTTTGACTTTAATTGGTTTGAGCATGTTTCCACTTTAATGAAAAGTCTTAAGAATAAATAATAGTAATAGAGAAATAGGAAATTTGATACATAGAGAATACAAGTGGTTCTTGACTTATGACGTAATGACCCTGCCCTTTGCAGTTGTAAGTCAACTTGGTTGTAAGTGTGTCATCACATGATGAGCCTTTTTTATGGTGGTTGTTAAGCAAATGACCAGGGTTGTTAAGTGAATCTGCTGTTGTTCAGCGAGCACTGTATCATTATTCGTTCTGGGTTGTTGTTGGTTTTTTTGCCAAAAACTTAAAGTAAACACCAGTTATCAGCAAAAATGTCATAAATTGGGGTCGTGTGACCATGAGATATTGCAGATGGCTTAAATGCAATCCTGAGACCGCAGGGAGGCGTTCATTAGAAATATGGAACTGGGTCATAAGTAGAGGGGCTCTGTCAGAACTTCGAGCAGTTGCAAGTCAAGGCTTACCTGTATTTATGGATGGATGGATGGATAAAGACTGCTTCCTATTCACTTCAAGCTTTCTTAGTGGCACTGGGATTTTGCCAGCCAAGTTGAGAATATAAGGTAAAATTATCCTGGACCTTATTCTAATGCTATTTTTTCCCCTTTCACAGTAAATAAGTCGAAACCAGGCATAAGGGTAAGTCTTAAATCCTGCTTATAATATTGAAGGTATGAAATTTTATTGCTTTGACTGAAAAATAATTGTAGCTATATGTGTTGAAATTTCATTGTACTAGGAAATTTTCTAATTTAAGAAAAAGTGGTCAGCAACATGTTCAATCTCATTTTTTCCCTTAAATCCTAAAAGATTTGAACCCATGCTTTCTTAAGACCTGTGTCTTCTTATAAAAATCTACTAGCTACTATCTTCCTTATTTCTTTGGATTTTCCAGGTAAGATGTAGGATTTAGCTATCTCTTTAGGAACCTTCTTCCCAGTGATTTCTTTTTCATTTCCTTTCGTTGAAAGATGTAAGGGTTTTTTTTTTCTTTTTTTTTAAAAAAAGGTTTATGAGGTTACTCTCTGAAGGACAAGAATATAAATACCTTACATATTCAGCTTTTAGTTTTGAAATATCCACGGATGGGTAGGTAGTAAAGGTGAAAACTATGTACCACATGGTTTTTATTTATATACACACACATACACATACACATTCCCTGTCTCTATCTATCTGCCTGACTGACTGCCTGACTGCTTCCGTACCTACCTACCTACCTACCTATCTAATTATGTGCTAGCACTTCAGAAAAAAAGTGAATGTGCTTTCCTGAAAAAAAAAATCTGATGTCAAATATATTGCTCATAAATCTTCAGATCATGTATGAGTTTCAGACATTAACAGGGCAGTTGCAAAGACTGGTGTGCCCTCTGAGAGTAGCCCCTAGTGTGGTTTTGGCAACTGCCTCCCTATATCCTCTGATCACTTTGTTTTCTGGGGTATGCTACCTTTTATTTTCTCCTTCTGCAAATCAGTACGGTGGCTCTTTGGGAGCACATACTGCATGCTTTTACTCTGCCCTAGGCAAAGCACTAAAGGTAGTCCTCAACTTAGGACCACAGTTGGGATTGGAATCTCAGTTACTGAGTGAAGCAATCGTTAAGCGAGATACCCAAATGATTCCTTCGCTCAATGATTGCAATCCTCCCCAGTTGAGTCATTAAGTTATCTCCTGGGTCAGTAAGTAGACAGAGCAAAATAGCTACCTTCCAGTTTCAGCTTTGTGCATGAAAGGGAATGATTGCAGAAATGGAGCTCAGACTTATTTCATTTTGTTTCTACCTGGCTCCTTTTAATTTTGTGTTCCATTTTTATATGGTTTCTATATTTTATGCTTTTAACTATACACCACTCAGAGTCAAATAAATAAAATCTGAGCTCCATTTCTGTAGTCCACTGGAAGACGTCCTCTTCCCTAACAAGCAGCCCTTCCACTCTTGAAGAATTGCCTGTGGGGAATGGGGGATCTCAACTCCAAACTGAGATTTGAGACTCAATTCCGGCTGAGATTCCCACCTGACAAACAGTCCTTTTGCTCTCAAATAGCTGCCTGTCAGGATGGAATCAGCTTTGTGGCAGGCGGCAGCAGCTTACAGCCTTCAGCATTGAACTTTCTGTGGAAGCCTGCAAAACAGAGAAGATTACAGATGGCAATCATACAAGCAGGTTGCCAAGTACCCAGATCTTGATCATGTGATCACAGGGTGGCCAGAAGTGCTTTACATCCATTCTGGGTCTAGACCATGGAGACATGGCAATGTCCTGCAAATTGCATAGGATGCAAAGCAAATTAACATACAAATAAGAGCTATGTTGCTCCTCCAAACATGGTCAGGGCAAGGTAGTTTTTCTCTTTCCCATAAGCAGTGCTTTTTTTCTAAAAAAAAAAAAAAGTGCCAAAATTGTTCACACATGTCACACAACCCTCCTTGCCTATCCTATAAGGTTCCATCCAAAAAAGGTGCCAGAATTCCTGGGCGTTCTATGAGAAAAAAAAGCCCTGCCCATAAGCACTTTTCCAATGCCATTTAAAGAGAGAATATAAAATCTGGAGTTTAAATAAAGTAGTTGTCCTCTGAATAGGTATAAATGTAATCTAAAACAAGATTGGAATGAAATCTGTTGTTCAGTATGCATTATTTTGTTGTAGATTTTTTTTGGGTAGAGGTTAAAGTAGGAACCTATTATTTGCATTAAATTTATTTTGCAAACATCCTGTTTCTTTGTTTGGGGAACTAAAACATTTGTACAGCTTAAAACAAATTCCTGGAAGAAATAATAATAGTAATAAAAGTACTATTACAGTTTTAAGGGCTGTGCAATAAACAAAGTGTCTCTGTTCCATAGATATGTAATAAAAACAAGATTTTAAAATACACGTCAAGATCAAAACCAAATGGGCATATTCTGAAATCAGTGCAAACATCCTGTGAGAAGCATGAATGTTTAACAAAACAGAAAACCGGATCAGTGACCAAAGCTAGTAAACATCCTGAAACTGTGAGGATTACTAAGAATTTATCAAAAGGACCCTGTAATAAAGATGATGCTTTTATAATGCAAAAAGACAATACAAGTTCAAAGCCAGATAATGTCAGAAATTCAGTTAAGAAACCTTTGGCATCCAACAAGAAATTTAAGAAGCATTCTCTTTCTGTTGAGGATCTAAGGGACAGTTTGGTATGTTTAACACAAGAGCAGCTGGAGCAGATTTTAATGGCAGTAAAAGAAGGAACCCAAGGAGCCACTCAGGTTCTGGATGAAAAGAAAGGAGAAACAAGTAAGATATTTATTTTCTCTACCCAATTTACGGGCATTCTTCGTGGAAAGGCACATTCATGCCTTCATCTTAGCACTGCAAATCAAGAGAGACAAAGCAAAGCAAACAAACAAAAAGTTGTTTATAAATTTACATGGTAAATTAATTTCTTTCAAATATCTTACGGTGACACTTGCTGAATTAACTGGGTTAATTAAGCTCTGTTAAGCTGCAAGAGTAAAAATATTAAATTCAATCGCTAACATGTTTTCACCAATGATACAGTTTTTACATAGCTATAATTAATTCCTCCTTGTTCTTTTATTTATCACAAGGTAGGCACTATTTCTCGGCAAGAGCCCACATTTTAACATTTATGTTGCATGACTGCATTATTAAACACTTTGGCCTTGGGCCTTTTTTTTCATTTTGGTGAATTTTAGATTATGTGGGTTTACAAAATTAGAGGTTTGATATGCCAATTTTAAGATCTAATTCTAAATCATTAAATCACACATTGCCATTTTGTTGTTAAATTTGTTGTTAAATTTTAGCAATAGTCATTGGCACCGCACAAGTATGTCATGGCAAAAGGCACAGTTGGTTTAACGAGAAGTTTTCAATTGCCAAACAGCTGTGACATTGTACTCTTATGGTTTTTAGATTGTTTTAATGTGTGGCACTTTATAAACGGATTCAAGATGCTTTTTATACTAAGTAGAGACTGATTCAAGATGCTTTTTATACTAAGTAGAGTAAAATAATACCACAATAATAAAAAAAACTTCATGCATACCGATGGAAACCATATTATTCAAAAATGCTTTTGAAAAAAAGTGCTTAAAAATGACTAGGGTCTGAAGCATCTTAACTTCTTCCAATCTAAAATGTTTGTTCACATTTCATTCACGGATTGGTCACAATTTTAATTTTAAACATACAATCCCTTAGGAGAACTAAAACAAAAGATGGTGAATTTTAAAGCTTCTGTTACTACTTTATTGTATCAAAAACAAGGAGAAATCTACTGCTTCTGCTGCTGAACTAATATTAAATCCTTTTTTTATTCAGACACCAAAACTCTTGATGATCAGACTTCAGAAGAACATATAATGGGATTGCTTCAGAAAGTTGGTGATGCTCCATCTCTTTCAAGTGAAAATAGTTTCTGTTCAAAAAAACCCCAAGGAATCTCTAGACATGCTGAACAGAAAATAATAATGTATGTAGATCTTACCAATCAAAAATCCTGATTAGTTTAAATTTTGCTTTGGGATGCTCTTGATAAAAATATTCGTTAGCATAAGGGTGAATGGAGAGAAGACCCTTGTGTATTGGGTATCAGGGTAGGTACCTTTCCACTACTGAGCCAGTAGGCACATTGGGCATTTTGAGGGCATATTGTGCAGGCTCTCAGAAAGTGGCTGCCATGTGAGACATTATCAGATTTTTTTTTCTCTTCTCTCTTTTTTTTCTCCCATTTCAGACAGGACAACAATTGCTTCCTGGTGTAATTTTTTTTTAAGAATCCATGGGAGGGCCCCAGGAATTTGGTTGGAAATAAAGGTGACATTAGTGGATTTTATTTAACAGCTTGACAACTTCTTGTTTATTTTTCATAACAAAAATATTTTAAAATTAGATAAGATAGAAAACTTGACAGATATCAGAAGAGAGAGAGAGATACATATCCCTTGATACTGTGGGCGTCATTTCGCCTATCTGCACTATATAATATGTAGAACTACTTCATTGTAGTAGTTAGGTGTTGACCTAGAAACTGGGAGACCATGAGTTCTGCCTTAGGGATAAAGCCAACTGGGTGACCTAGGCCAGTCCCTCTCCTTCAGCCCCAGGAAGGAGGCAAGGGCAAACCACTTCTGAAAATCTTGCCAAGAAAGGGACATGTCTAGGCAGTCGCCAAGAGTTAAGACTAAGTTGAGGGCACCAGAAATAAAAAAACTATACAGCATGCATCTTTACAGAATTATATAGGGACATGCACATGAAAAATCAGGGACTGGCCTGATTCACACTGAGCCAGGAGTTAGACTCAGGAGCTTGAACAAGCCGACTTCATCTAATTTATAAATAATGGCTCAAGCAAAACAAATAAGTATACCGTGAGTATTGTAGGTTAACCGTACCACTGTTTATATATCATGGTAAGATCAGTTTCAATTTAGCATGACAGGAACAAGTTTAGTCTTTTGCGGGAGCTTGCACTATCCCCATCAACTTTAATTAAATTCTCTTTCTTTCCTAATCAACTAGAGCAGGGGTGTCAAACTGCCGGCCCGTGGGCCGGTTTCATCATACCGGAGCCGCGCCCATCCCATTGCCGGCAATGGCAAAAAAGCTCCAATACGTTGCACGACTGACGTCGCAAGTTTGACATGTCTGAACTAAAGCTTTCTATCTGCTTAGTTTCAGTAAGCCAGTTTCAGGATTTATAATGTGTAAATGGCTTGTTTGCAACAAAGTAGCAGTAATGGTAATTATTGTTTCATTAAAACATAGTTAAGTGAGTGCAAAAGTTTCCATATCCTTCCAAAGGAAAAGGAAAAGAGAGAGAGAACACGTAGTCTCAGGAGGCAGCTGGATGGGTTTCCTTTTGTGTATGTTGTACTCAATTATAATACATAAACATGTTTAGTGTGCAGTGGACCTAGAATGCTTCATGTGCTCAGGTTATCCATGCAAACAAAAAACAATATTGCTTTAATGTGTCAATTTAATTAATCAATTTAATTTTTTAGTCAATGTTTTTTTACTTACAGAATGCTTTTAGAATGCAAAAATAGTGAAAAGGACCTTTCTTCCTTGTCCAAAATGAATTGTGTTGTTTGATAAAATTGTAATGAGCAGAATGTTTGGATTTCTTTCTGGTCCTAATTTGGATTTCTAAGTAATATTTATTTTAATATTAGTATGTGATATGTAAAAATCTGTTAAATTTTCTTTACCAGGAATTCATGGAAACCAGCTGACATGTTTAGTACTCTAGGAGAACGAGAGTCGGATAAAACCTTGTTAGATGCTAAGAAATCTCAGTGGAAGAAAGAACTAGGTACTGTGTAACTTGCTATATTTCTAGATGATGCAACTGATCATTAATTAGCATCTAACCTTAAATATTTTGTTTCTGAAATAACAGGTGGGTTTCTTCTGGTTTTGATCCTAGTAGTATACCCTTTTTCTAGTAGTACAGATTTCATTGATCAGTGTTTAAATGTTTGATATTTCAATCTTTTTCATTATTTTTTTAGTCTTAGTAAGTATAGAAATCAAATAACAATTATCTAAGATACATACACCATTTACAAGTCTTTTTTTCCCTATAGTGCTTTTTAAAAAGATAGAAAAGATGTGGTACACTAGTTTCTAGCCTTACTTACATTTCTTCTGTATGTTGCGTCTCTTGTAATAATAAAGATAGTCCCAGTCAGTTCTGGCACATCTTACCTAGTGTGCAGCAAGTGTAACGAAACCCCAAGTATGCTCACCCTATTCTATGCCAGCAAGAGAAATAAAATGGCACCAGCACATATGTTTTTAGATTAGAAAGAAGAGTGTCAGCTGGGTTTGCAGATTTTATTTCCAGAGAATCCTTTAGAGTTTAGAAAGGGTTTGTGTACTAGTACTGGTGTTGAGGATTGTTGGTTGCTAGGGTTTGCGGTTTGTGGGGATTTGAGCTATGTTCTGAAGGATTACTGAGATAAAAGAGCAAAGTCACACTGGAAGATAAGGAAATGCTGGCTGTGAGCCCTATTTTATGTACCCATGGTGCTGTTGAGTACTAGAGGACAGTGAGGAATATCTGTGGTGCTGAAACACAGTAGGAGCTGCAATGACCTGGTCAAAGCTGTTTGCCTTGAGGGTGCCTGTGACAATGGACACTATCTTTTGGACCCCAGCTTGGAATGCAGCAAGATGTGAAAGGACAATAGCAGAAGATAAAGTACCAGTGATTTTTTTCATCAGAAGCCTAAGTGGTTGATGGAAAACAGTTAAAGCTTTGTGACAAGATGGCCAAAGAAACATGGCACAAAAACACTTGTTAAAAAGTGGTTAGTCCACAAGATATTCTATATATAGTATTGTCTGAATGAGATGCAACATCATGAATGCCACTGTTAATTGAGATTATTGTAATGTTATGCTTCATTGCACAGTTAGCCAGATATTTAGATGGATTTGGCATTTTTGGCTACCTGTCAAGTCCTTCCTAAGGACCTGGGATAGCAGATGTGAATGTTCAATGGTGTTAGAGATATCGTTGCAGAATGTAAGCTGTTTTGAGCAAGGCTGCCTTTTGCAATTGACTGATGGGTGATTTTGTCAATGCCAATGTATTCAAGTGGTGCTCCAATAACACCTATTGTTATTATTTTAATTATTTATTATTTAATAAAGTATATTGTTGGCTATGCTCTTCTTACAAGCGGTTTTACTGAATTAGTAAAACAGTTAAAAGAAATCTGTAATCTAGAGACTACTTGGCCCTCATCCAGAATATTGAAGAAAATAGTATATGGATGTGGGAGAAGCAAAGATGACACACAAAGGTAAAAAGAAGATGGAGAGATATAGTGAATGATTGAAATAAATTAGATTTAGTTATATTTCCTGTCCTCTTTTCTTTTCTTTTTCCTTTTCTGTATCTCATGCTATGATTCATTTGGCTTACTGTCTCTTACTCCTGTATCCTGGAAAAGAATGGTGTGATTCTTATTTTTCATATAAGCAGAAAAAAGAATGATAGTTCCCTTGTTTAGATTTTAACTGAATTGAGTGATTGTATATGATCTCTGTTAGCCAATTAAAATTTCTCCATTTTCCATTTCCTGGGAGAGAAAGTAAATAACTTCCCGATGGATTTATAAACAATAACATAAAATCAGATTAAGTGCATCCTTAAATTCCGTCTCTGGTGCAGTTGAAGAAATTGGTTCATTTATTATTAACTAAAACTTCTATCATTGAACGTGGTACTTCTAACTACTGTTTATTGAAATAAACCATTTAAAATTATGACTTAAGAAATGGACTTGTTTCACAACAAATGATAACTAACATAACTAGAGGTTAGGACATGAGTGTAGGCTAAATTACATGTGATCTTAATAAAGGATGTTAAGAGAAAGCTCAAGTCATCTTGCGATGCTAGAAAGACATGGAAGAAGGGTAATATACAAAGCCAAGGAGATGTCTCGTCTCGCTTCCATCATGATCATCCATTATTTAATGAGTGATTGCAATGATTATTTCTGTCTTTAAAGATGAACAAGTAGCTTTAAAGAAGAAGCTAAAAGAAACTTTGGAAACAGAGTCCAGACACCACCAGAGGCAGCCAGTTGATACAGTGAAAAGCTGCTTAGAAAAAAGACAAAACAGTCATCAAGTAAAGGTAAAAAATAAAACATGCTTACTGTATCCATTGCTTGTAAGAAAAATGCTTATACCTATACTTCTGTATCTACTGTATGTTGTTAAATAAAATTTAACTTGCATTTATTTATTTTTTGCTATTGAACCCATAAGGCATTATCACAACCTGAGGAAGTTGTACGGTATGTAGGCATGATGCATAATATAGGAGGTAGCTGATACTATTTTTTGGATAAAATTAATTGCATCATATACGATCACTTACAATGTTATATTTGTTTTTTACATTCCTCTTAATGTATAATGTTTGAATTCACCAAGATACCTTGTTATAGATGACATCATCAGACAACTTGTCTCCTGCAGCAGAAGATATCCATTCTCTTAGAACTTCAATCATTGAGCCTAGTGAAACTTCTCCCAGTGTGTCCAGTAATCGAACTGAACAGTTCTCTAGTTTCAGTTCTCCTGATTTGCCAGCTGCTATTCGAACAGCATTTGTGCTAGGGGTAAGAACGGATTTCTGTGCGTTGTTTTATATTTTAAGATTTTCTACTCATGGAATGCCTTTCTTTGGCAGTTTCTAAAATATTGGCTTATAGGACATCATTTGATGTACTTTTAAAGCAAATTGAATGAATCCAGTTCGGACCATACTTTGCATGGGTACTAAGTTAGTTATAGTTAAAGGATATGCAGAAAATGAAAAAAAAATGCAATTAACTGGTCCTGATGCTGCTCCTACCAGTAGAAGGGGATGGGCCAGTTCCTTATGCATCCACATTGCATTTTCCAATTCTGTTTCAGGGGATTGAGAGACATTTGGAGAAGGCTTGGGAGTGACACAAACTGTAGGAAAATGAAGAGAAAGTCATGTTACATTAGCAAACTTGTACTTGTTTCAGGTTGATTTCATTTATTGTTCATTCATTCACTATGCTTGCCGAAAAGTATTTCTAACTTGATTTTATAATAAATGATCAAGATGTAAGTTACAAATGTATGTAACTTTCAAACCAGATATATTCATCGACAACTGCTCCATACTGACTGTACGCTATTTTTAACTCTTTATTTTGCATCATAAAATTCCTGTACTTAGGTAGGTTATTCAGAAATGTAAGAATATATGTCAAAAATGATAGGTATAGATACAGATATATAGGTAGTTTTCAACTTATAACCACAATTGGGACCAGCCATAAGTTAATTATTTCAGTGCTATTGTAACTTCGAGTGGTCGCTTAAAGCAATGGCTGTAAGTTGAGGACTACCTGTATATTCAAAACACCCAATAATTATAATTAAATTAAAGTTTAAAATTAAAATGTCCCCACCTGATAAGTATTTCAAGCTCCAACTATTTGATGGCTCAGTAAGGATTTTAATGCACCCATCTTGAGGAAGTAACTAATTCAAAGACAAGAGGTGTCAGTACCTTAAATTGCAATCAGAAATATTATGATCATTATCCACAATATGTAGTGCAAAAGCTAAAGATTAAAGTCAAATTGGATAGTGAATTTATTTAACTTCTTCCTTCTTATGTACATGTATGTTTACCTATTGACAAAAGTAAAGGGATAATGAAAATAACCAGCGTTCTTCTTTTAGGAAGCAACACCAGTAGAGCGTCCTTTTAGTGCTGTGAAACGTGAGCAACAGAAAAAATGGCTTGAAGAGCTTGATAAGCAAAAGGAAGCTGACAAGCTACGAAAAATGGAAGAAAAATGTAATTTTTTGAAGGTAGTCCTAGTTATAAAGGCCACTTTAAATAAGGAAAAATAGAAGATCTAATAAAAACATCTATCCAGTTGTTTTCTTAGAAAATTGTTCAAATGACCTAGTAAAAATAAAGATTCCAACTATCATACATAATCTTGGTTACTCAGTTCAAGAACCCTCCAAATAAATGGTCCAGTAAAATCTATAAATGCTTCTCAACAGTTTGTCAATACATAAAACAGTCTGTGAAGGATGCCTAAATAGGCTAATATATTTCATTGGAATTTTTGAGATGTAATATTATACTTATAATATTATACTAATTATACTAATAACTTAATTATACTAATTCAGATCTAATTCCCTGTCTCCTCAGTTTAACAAAATATGCCTCACAGCTAGTCAAAGACCCTGAAGCTCACTAATGAACATTCTTTACATCTGTGTCCAGAAACAAGCATATATAGCCCTATAGAAAAAAAAAGAGAAAAATGGAAATATAAAAAGCTATTTGGAAGAAATTGGCACAAGCCATCTGAAAAGTATCAGCATTTTGGTTATATGTTATCAAAACAGTTCCCCCAGATTAGGCAGAACGTTCAGTCAACTTAAGATGGGGGATGAATATTTCTATGGCCCTGCTTAATATCCACTTTAGAGATTCAGATCTCTTGCCCATAATCTCAGAGCCTCTTTCTGACTGGCCTCCTGCCGTCATTTCAGACATCCAAATTTATGGAACAATTGATAGCGGCAAAGCATTTGGATTGATCTGTTCCTTGGGTCAGTTCCCAGTGGTGTTCTGAAATCTAATTTAGATTTGTGGGATCCTAATTTGGTCTCCCTATTTATCTGTATTGATCTATATCTATACCTTGCAGGTACCTAAATAATAGGGCTGATCCCTAATAGTCCAATGTTTAAGAAAGCTTCTGAGCTTCAGTCTAACAGCTAAGCACCCTGTTCTGTGCTTCTGTTGTGCACCTAATACTTTTGCTTGAGCTTCATAAGAGAAAATGTGGACATATATTTAAATACTATTTTCTTTCTATTTCTTTAGGGTGAAGAGCATGACAAATGGACAATACATTTTGATTCTTTCAAGAATCATATGAATTCGTTTGCACAATATCCTTTAAATACAACATATCAAAAGACTCCTGAGGCTATACAGCTCTCCCAGGACCATACAGCTTGTACAACTTCACCTTTGTCTTGTCTCACACCGACAGAGATAGAGATTCCAGGAAAAGCAGTTGGAAACTATATTTCAGAGCCAAATCAAAAAGCCAGGTGATTGCCTAAACTTTTCCTTCCAGGTTGCAACCAGGCATTAACTAGCATAATCTATAAAACTTCTTTCAATAAATGAATTGTAGTTGTAATTACAATTCAATTTATATGCATTATTGTAGAATATCTTTTTCTTGAGATTTGTCTCATTTTAACTATATATCGTTCTTAGGGAATAAAGCTACGTATGTGAAATTATTTTAATATAGTCTCTGGTCTCCTGAAATGTCACAGGGCCTTTTTACAGTACTTTTGAATGTTTGTGGATCAAGGGGGTTGCCGGTAGCTGACAAATTCAAGTATTTCATTGTATTTTTCCATCTCCCTAAGGGTGGGGGAGAATTCAGACTGGGAAAGGAAGTTAGAAGTTTATTTTTCTCCACTCAGATCTGGCTGCAAATTGTTAGGGTAACGAGGACTATAGAACTGCATTTTCTGATTGAGGCAGGTATATAGACCTCTACTGAAACCTAAAATCTGCTCTATTAAATTAATGTAGTTTTATTTTTGCTAACATTATCTCTGTTTCTTTGTTGGTTTCTAATTCCTTTAGGTAGAACTAGGCCTCCTATAACTTATTTCAGATCTCTTGGTCCCATAATTAAATGTGAAAAAGTGGCCCTGGAAAATATGGGGGGAGGGGGAAATAGGAGGATGGAGATTCTATGAAAAGATGCGGTGTTTTGTGACAAAGAGCTACAATTTGTGTACGTACCTTACCAAATTCTCCTCCGTTGATAGTTACCTTCGTTCAATGACTGCTCTTCTGGATCCTGTTCAAATTGAGGAACGAGGGAGACGACGACAAAAACAATTAGAGCATCAGGTAATCAGTATAATGTTGCCTTTCTGGTTTATTGATTTATGTTTTTCCATAAGTGGAGAAAGCATTAGCACTGCATGAAAAAACACAAAACAAATGGAACAAGTAACTTGAACTGTGCCAATCGAATGAAATTTAGAATGGGATTAGGACCATGATGCAGCTTTTCTCAACTTAAACCTAATTATTTTTAAATAGGCTCATTTATGACAGATACATTTCCTATCTCTCAGTAATACAGCCTTATCTGTATCATTTCTTCTCTGAAATTTTAAGTGAGCCAGATGGTATCAAGAGTTTTATAATTTTAAGAACGGAGGCATATTTTGAAACCCGTGTTTTCATCATCTTTTTGTTGTTTATTTGTAAACTACCACTTGTTCACTTACATTTTATTTGCCACATATTTGTCTCATACATCCATTTAGGCAGAAATTGTACTAAACAAAGCTATGCTAGTTTTGTCGTAGAAACTTGGAAAGCACCATCTCCTTGCTGTTGCTTTTGATTTCCTCTTTGAGAAACCTTTTCTAAATTTGCTTGAATTGGAGAAGCCTTCAGATTTAATGCAATGATTTTTTAGCCCCAGTAGCTCTACTGTATGTATTTTTCTGTATGTGTGTGTGTGTGTGTGTGTGTGTATATATATATATATATATATATATATATATATATACACACACACACACACACACACACACACACACACACACACACACACTCTCTATTTTAAACCCATTATACTAAAGAGCTACCGTAAATGCCGGCGTATAAGACGACTTCTGCGAGCGCTGAAATCGGCGCCAAAGACGGGGGTCGTCTTATACGCCGAGTCGTCTTACACGCCGGAAATACTGGTAGTTTCCGGCGTATAAGACGACGTTCTAGGAATGCGGCCCGGCTATAAAGACGGGGGTCGTCTTATACGCCGGGTCGCCTTGTACGCCGGCATTTACGGTATATAAAGTTCTAATGACTCGGAGTCAAAAAACCTAAGCAAAAGAAAGTAAGAAGGTGGGAAGATGGAAGCTTTTAGCGCAGATTAAAACATCTTATAAATTTGGTTTTCTAGAAAGCTATAATGGCACAAGTGGAAGAAAAGCGAAAGAAGAAACAGATGGAAGAGGAACAAAGAAGGCTGGAAGAACAAGAAGAAGAGCGCCGGCTTGCCAGAGAACAGGAATTGATGAAGAAACAGTTTGAAGAAGATCTGCTAAAGCAGAAACAAAAAGAGGTAAACATTCACATGTTCCATGGCAATAAACTACCTATCTGCATCAGCCTCAGATAAGTGGTATTTGGTGCAAATGAGAACTTTCTGTTTATTAAAAAGCACAGTGAAGAGAAGGGCTCTGATTCAATGGCTTTGTAGCTCTGAAGATACTTTAGGATAAAGTTTGGTGAAATTGCAGGAATTGGAGAGATTTTAAAAAATTATTAAGAAATTTTCATAGGATTCGGCCAAATATTACTTATGCCTGTCTGACAGGTTTCTGTTTAAGCTGGGTTTATTTACCCTCAGGTTGAAGAAATATCAAAGATTAGGTGAAATTGAAAAAAATCCACTTAAGCAACAAGGTATTCCTGAATTCTTTATTTATGTTTTTGTCCTTGTTTGCTTGTTCAGTGAGGGCTGAGGTTAACAAGACTAGAATTAAGCCCCAACAAAACTTATCAAAACACTGTGCAACATTCGAGACTCAAAAACAGATGGCAAAAACCCATTATTACGTATGGGCAAAAGAAAGAGATACAGGGTGTAAACCTTGGTGCTGACTGATAAATATGACTAGATTTCTAGATACTGTAATAGGTGGTGCTTTGTATTATAAAAGCAACTTTCTTGTTCGATCCTCTTCCTTGAATCATCAGTTGCTAAGCTCATGATGTGTATGTGCATTCACAGAGAGAGAGGTTTATTGCCGTGCCCAGGATAATGTTCTGATATATTTCTCTCATTTAGTTTCTCAGATCTGTTTGTCCCTTTTCACTTCTAGTTGCTATTTACCATCTACTTTTCTTGGCAGCATCGCATTAGAAAAATCTTTAAAAATACTTTTTCAGACACTCATACTGAGTCTTTTTTAACAAAAAATCTTGTAACATACAAACAGAAACAGATAGCGTTTTAAATAGGTTTAGTATTTTTACAGTATGTTTTTGCTGAGTATACTTTTTTTATCCTATTAGGAAATCATGGCCCTTAAAACAAATGAGTTGTATCAAACAATGCAGAAAGCTCAAGAATTAGCTCAAAGATTAAAACAAGAGCAGCGAATTAAAGATTTAGCTCAGAAAGGACATGACACTTCAAAACTGCAGAAGAATCTTGGTGGTGGTAAGTATCATACTTAAAAATAATACAAAAGTGAATTAAAATATGTTTCTATGTTCCTTGATGTGAGACACATCTTTAGAACATATACTAAAAGATTTCCCAAACAGCAGATTTTGGAAAATGTTTTGGAAAATACTTTGAATACAGTCTCTTATTTATGCTGTATTATAACTAAATTTAAGTACAAGTAAGCAGAATATTAACATTTTTTCCAATATAGTACCACCTCACTTTTTCTCACTTTTTTAGTTTAGAATATACTTCTGTATGTTTGTATGGAATTCTTTTATTTTACACATATACTGTTCTTTAAAAAAAAAAAAGATGAAAATGCTAATCTTTTGTTATCTGTACACCTAGACTGGGCCATTTTTTTGGTTTGAAGAGACCCATTTATTGGCAGATATTGGGGTGTTATTTTCATACATATGCACAAGTTAATGCACATGCATATACATGTAATTTCCTTCTTCCTACTCCTCCACCTGCCTTACTAAGTGGTAAAAGAACTATGGTGGCGCAGTGGTTAGAATGCAGTATTGCAGGCTAATTCTGCTGATTGCCAGCAGTTCGATTCTCACCAGCTCAAGGTTGACTCATCCTTCCATCTTTCCAAGGTCACTAAAATGAGGACCCAGATTATTGGGAGCAATATGCTGACTCTGTAAACTGCTTAGAGAGGGCTATAAAGCACTGTGAAGTGATATATAAGTCTAAGTGCTATTGCTATTTATGCTAAAAACATTGACAAAAACAAAGGTTTAAATTCAGCATTAAACTGATGTTAAGTATAGAGTTGGAGTATTCTTTGACTTTTCTTCTCTTTAGGTGATATTACAAAGGAGAATAATTACATTGACTTGAATAGGGTTTTAGAGACTCCTAATCAGAAGCACTGTTTTGCAGAGACTAATAATGAAACAAATGAGAGAAAGAAAACTAATTTCTCTCCTCAGAAAGACACAGCTGTGCAGACAGGTACATTAATTCATTATACAACTTTTTCTTTGCATATTTGTCCACACTATAATGTTTTGGCAGACTCTTGTTCGGCAGTCTTGTTGGGGTTCCCCGTTCCCTTTTGCTAAGTGCAGCAGACTCATGCATTTCTGTGATGCTTTTGCAGATATTGTAGCTTGACAAAATCTCTCGCATTTGTTCAGAGTTGGACAGTTTGCTGAGATGACTTAAGGAACACTTCAAGAGATCATCTGAAATTTTCTGAGTTTGTAGAAACTGAGGAAGTAGATAGGGTACCCTTAACATGAGTTCTTCCTGCTGTGGATTGGATTTGTGCCCCCTGTCTCCTTTGGGCAGTTGGATAAGGGGTAGTAGCTGAAACCTGTTCATCATAAACTTTTTTTCAAGAGTGGGTAGGTACCACCTGCCTTTAAACCAACTGTGTAGCCCCCCCTGAAAGAGCCATCTCTCAATCCAGCCACATTGGCTAACTTGCACTCAATCCACTTTCCTCCCTTTTCTTCAGCTACAATGGCTCCCAGAGAAAACCTGTACCCTTTTCAGCCTGAATACATATCTAGGCCAGATGAGTCCAGAATTTGTTTATTTCAGTGTGTTGTTAGTTGCGAAGTCATGTCCAACCCATCGCGACCCCATGGACAACGTTGCCTTCCTGTTCTCTACCATCTTCTGGAGTCCATTTAAGCTCATGCCTACTGCTTCAATGACTCCATCCAGCCACCTCATTCTCTGCCGTCCCCTTCTTCTATTGCCCTCAATCTTTCCCAGCATTAGGCTCTTCTCCAGTGAGTCAGTATATTTCAGTGTATAAACTGTCAAAATCGAATGACACAAAGCAGTGTACAGATGATTAAAAATACATCACAGAATGCATCATAAAAACCAACTGTGGGGGAACTAATAAAAACAAAAATGTCATATGCAATAATATATCACAGTGTGTAATACAGAATATTAAAAAGTACTTAAATAAAACATAAAATATTATATTACTAAGCTGAACTACAGAAAGCCAAGTCCTAAAAGACAAAAGGGTCAGAGAGAAGATCTGAGGCAGAATATATGTAGTCCTCAACACTGAAAAAAGTGATATATGACCGTTTTTCATACTTACGACCATTGCAGCATCCCCATGGACACGTGATTAAAATTCAGACTCTTGGCAACTGATTCATATTTATGACGACTGCAGTGGCCTGGAGTCATATAATCACCTTTTGTGACCTTCTGACAAGCAAAGTCAATAAAGAAGCCAGAGTCAATTAACAGCTGTGTTACTAACTTAACAACTGCAGTGGTTCACTTAACAACTGTGGCAAAAAAGTCATAAAATGGGGCAAACCTCACTTAACAAATGTCTCACTTAGCAACAGAAATTTGGGGCTCAAGTGTGATTGTAAGTAGAGAACTATTAGTACTTGTTCCAGAGGACTGATAGCAGAGAGTCCCAATGAAACCTGGAGGAGAATATTTTCTGCCATTTTTGTGTTGCTGGCTAGTTTAGAATTTACAATCAGATATCAAAGGAGGAAGATATTAGAGAAGGTGCCAGGACTAATACAAATAGCATTGTGTTTATTTAAATTCTCATAATTAATTATTACAGAGCTCCTTCCCAATTGCCATGGTGAGTGCAAGAGATAGAGATGATCTCTGAAATTTAACTCACAAAGAGATTGCTTTCTTTCGGCATGTTTTATAGCCCTGCAGCTTTTCTTTTCCCCTCTATCCACAGAGTTGTTTAGTTTACACATCATCAAAAGATGATTACATATTAAAGAGGACTAAGTGCCCAACAGGCACTGGGCATTTAACAGGAGAAAAGAATGAAATAACTTATTGGGGGTTGAGCAGAAAGTTCTGTCTAACTTACAAGAGTAAATAGAATGAGCTTACTTAAGCAGCCTTACTTCAAAAGTATTAATTGGAAAATGCAGGTCAATCAAAAGGCATATAACAATTCTATGGTTGCTGCACCTTGCCCTTCTGTGACCCAGTTTATATGGTCTGCCATTGGACTGCTCAGAAACTGCACTCTGTTCAAAATGCAGTGGCCTGACAGCTGTCAGGAGGAAGCAGGTTCACCAAATATATATTTTGATAGGCTAGAGATTGCTGCCACTGATTTAGACACTACTTCCAAAATGTCTCTCAGATTAGAACATCTGGAGGTTAGCAAATCACTTCTCCTTGTAAAAAATGTAGGATAGCATTAGTAAGTTTTTTTGTTGCTTTGCCAGTTCTATAAGGCACCGTATATTCCGGCGTATAAGGCGACCTGGCGTATAAGACGACCGTCTTCGGCGCTGAGTCGCATGCCTAGAAAGTCGTCTTATACGTCGGAAACTACCGTTATTTCCAGCGTATAAGACAACTCGGTGTATAAGACGACCCCCAACTTCGGCGCCGATTTTAACGCTTGCGAAAGTCGTCTTATACGCTGGAAAGTACGGTAAACTATGTTAGAATAGATTTATTACCAATATACTGTAACTCTCACTACAGTCTCATATTGGAGATGATTTCCATTGGATTTAGTGGTCATGTAATCACATTGGATAAGGCCACTTTAAGAATTTGGATAAACATCCCCAGTTTTAAATTTGTTTACTAATGCTGATTTTTTTTAATCTTACTTGGCATTCAGAGTAAAATGTTTGGAGTAATGTTAATTATTATGAGTGATGTTTGAAGAAATTATTTAAACTTTTTTTTTTTTTGCTAGAGTTTGCAATCACTGATTTTCCCACTGATTCTGAAATTTCCCCTACACCAGCTGGGGAAGGAAGAATGGACTGCGCATCTCCAGATGTTGCTGTAGAATATATAATGGACTTCAGCAATAAAAGAAGCAAGAAAGAAGCACAATATCTAGATAAAAAGATTTCAGAAAAAGAGAATATTATCAGCAGTTGCAGTCGCTATGAACAGTATTCCCCAAAGCAGAAACATCCCAAGGCAGTGGGAAAAAATGGGAAAAAGGTGGACTGGAACATAAACAAATCTTGCAAAAGATATATTCCAGCCTCTGAGAAATATCCCAGACTCCAGCAAAAGCAGAGGGAAGAAAAGAAAGCACAGCGACAAATGGCACTGCTTCAGTTGGTTGAAAGAAACAACCCTGGTAATCTTTGCAAAAAAAAAGATGTTTCTCCAGATAGAGCTCTTTCACCTCACAAGGAAGATGAGGTCAAAAATAAGGTAAGTGCCTTCAAAATATGAGGATGGCCTAGTCCAGGGGTCCCCGACCCCTGGTCCATGGACCTGTACCAGGCCACAGCATGCCAGCAACCACTCCACACAAAAAAGCAAAGCCCCATCTGCGGGATGCAGGCAGCACACAAAACCACACACCCTCCGCTTCACAGAAAAACCTCTCTCCACAAAACCAGTCCCTGGTGCCCAAAAGGTTGGGGACCTCTGGCCTAGTCATAAGCCATTGTCTTAGACAAGTATAAATACTTGCAGTATGGTGAATTGAATGTCACCCATGGAGAAATGGAAATTGAATTGAAATTTTTGGTAATTGAAAATACCAAAACTCAGCTATAAATAATTGAATTTCACTTTTGAGAAGAACAAAATAACAGAGCTCGTTTTGATGTCATGGTTAAGGCAGCAGCTAAAAAGATAGCGAGTTCTAATTCTGTCTTAGGCGTGAAAGCTGGCTAGGTGACTTTGGGCTAGTCACACTTGCTTAGCCCAGCCCATCTTATTGGGTTCCTCTTGTGGGGAAAATAGAAATTATGTACATTCGCCACCTTGCATTACCTGTACAGTAATGAAGTCTGGATGAAAAATCTAATTAAAAAATACAAATTTCTCCAAATAAACCTCAGAAGTATTTCTAAGAATGATGTATGGTGCTGTGCAGTGCTGATATGCTACTACTGCTACCACCACACCAACGCCTCTTTCCTCTTCTTCTTCCTCCTCCTCTTCTTATGTATGTAACTACAGTGATTAAAGAAGGAAAAAGAAGAGCCATATATTAATATAATAAAATTAATTCAGTTCTTAGATTTATTAAGCCCAGAACGCATGCATTGCTGCATCTTTTTATTTTTATAATACAGATTTAAAACATCGATATAAAGGGATACATCTTGAAGGTGTTCTTTAACATCGGGAATATTTTTTTTTCCTGTGATCAGTAGAGCCAGGGTTCTTAATAAACACATTATTTTCTGTTGAATTTAATTGATTCTTAAGATATGTGTTTTATGTTTCTTGAAATTTGGACCCGTTGATTTTCTAAAATTGGATATTCCAATTCCTCATTCCACATTTCAATTACCTTCATCATGTTCTTTGTTTTCAATTAAATTTTATTACTGATTTCACTTCCAAGTACAGTATCTCTTAGAGATTTTAGAATTCCAAGTATCTCTGAAACTTAATTATCTAGATTATATTGTTTAACCAATATATATGTTTTCATTATATGTATTCTGAAGCAGATAATTTAGCTAAGTTATACTCAGCATTGTCTGAAATTCTTATAATGAGCATTATCCATAAACTGATGTAATGTATTTATCTCTTGTTTGGCCCTAAACTTTCAGTAAAACAGTTTCTCCTCTGTCTTCAAATTAGGTTGATTCCTCATCAATTTCTCGTGTAATTTGGATTGAAAGTTAGCCACTTAATTTAATACTTTAAACTTAGTTTAATTTAATTGACCAAATATATCTGGTAGCTTTCAAAGCTGGAAAAGACAATCTCAGTTGTTTTTGTTGTGACACATTTCCTTCTATTCAAGCCCAAAGTGGGTAATATTGGGGGGCAAAAACATTCTCATAGGCTTTAAAATAAAGGTCTAACTTTAAAGTGTAAAGTCTGAAAATTTAATGCATCAGCATCATGGAACAATTTAGCCAAAGAAATTAGAGCATCTTGATTTGCTATAATTTATTTATTATTAACTAGCTGTTCCCAGCCACGCGTTGCTGTGGCTCAGTGTGGTTAAATGGAAAAGAAAGAAAAGAGAAAGTGCACGTTTGTAATATGTTTAATTTCACAATACTTGTGGGTATACAATATTTTTTGTTGTTCCATTGTGTGTGCAGATACAGAGATTACGTCCAACAGATGGTGCTTTTTTTAAAAAAAACATGTTTTTACCTGTCACAGGTGTGACATCTATATAATATAGGTATATAAAAACATATATAAAAATATTAAAAAAATTAGGGAAGTCAGCAAGAGGTTGCAAATGGCAGTTACATGACAACCTTGCTTAACAGTGTGCAATGATTTTCTTAATGGCAGCCAGGATTCTTTTTGCTAAGCAGTGCAGTCACATGACATCATTCTTTGTAACTGTGTCATTTAGTGACTGCAATTCCAGTCCCAGTTACCATCATTAACTGAGTATTACCTGTAGAGACCTGGTTTGTCCCAGACTCCCAAGAATACATTCAGTATAAATAAATGTAAATTTATCCATCTCATCCCCTGCAGCTTAGCTATTAGCAGAGTATTAAAAAAATAAGGGTAAGATCAAATATAACAAGTAGATCAAGAACATTCTATTTCAGAAGGTAAAATAAGGGTCCATTATAGAATACAGTGTGGGGAAAATAACTTTATTTTGGTCTTATTTTAGGAAGAACAATTCTCAAAAAAATTATTTGAACAAAGGTAGGTATTAGCATGTCTTTCTCTAATAAAGTATTGGTTTTGTGTCTATGTTTACATATATCAAGTTCTCAAATATTATGGCATTGTATTTAAAAGTAAAATTAGCATAAATTCTAAAGTTTTAGCAATTCCTATTAGAGAAAAAATTTGCACTGAATAATCAAATGTACATGAGTTTGTTATATCAAATATCGAACAACTTCATCTTCGCTCATAGCTCCTTTGAATAGCTCCTTAAACAAAATAAAATCTTTGTGTGGAAGGAGATCTGCATTTTTAAGATTGCATTTAAATATAAGCAGAAATTAATAGTAGATTGATAAAATGCTCTGGCTGAGACTATTTTTTTGCAGCTGAATTGTTTGTTTTAAACAGATCTGACTCCCCACCTGTTCCAGCAGTTAAAAACAAATTACAGCAACAACTAAAGACTTCTGATTTCCCAGTTCTTAACAGCAAAAATGGAAGCCCAAAGAGTATTTCTACAGAGCAGCATGGGAATGAAAGACCTCTTCCAAATGCGGAAACTGAAAGACCTCCTTCATCTCATTTTGTTCCTTATGTGCGAACAAATGAAGTATATTACCTTGATCCAGATGCACCCTTGACTAGGCCCTCCACGCATGAGCCACAATACCAAGAGCTGAATGGTACTTCAATAGAGAGTTCAAGAAACACTTACGGTTATTCAGTATTTCACCATTAACCTTCATTTAAAGTTTTTGCTGCTTGTTCTAAAGTGTTGTTTTAATTCAGTACTGAACAAAGTAAAATATTTGTTTAAGAGAAAATCATTAATTTTAAACCTATCAAACTAAACATAAATATATTCTGTTTGTAATCAGATGTTCAAGGCAGAAAATTTATCCATAGGGTAACTAACAGTTAACCACGTAGATCACACGTTGAGCCTTGGTGGTGCAGTGGCTAGAATGCAGTATTGCAAACTAATTCTGCCCACTGCCAGGAGTTCAATCCTTACCAACTCATGGTTAACTCAGCCTTTCATCCTTCCGAGGTCAGTAAAATGAGGACTCAGCCTTTCATCCTTCTGAGGTCGGTAAAGTGAGGCCAATATGCTTAGAGAGGGGTATAAAGCACTATAAAGCTGTATATAAGTTTAAGTGCTATTGTTATTCCAGTTGTATCTATGAATGTAGAAAACTACTTCTATGAAACTATATTTTGAAATTGGCTAAAGATAAATTCTTCAGAAGGCTATATATGCATTCTCTTCCAGACAGATGTCAAGCTAAGACACATCATAATTTATTCATGCACAATATTAAAAATAACACTGACTGCTTGCAGTACAATTAATTGTATCTATATTTATCTTTAGATACTTACCATAAACCACGGCAGGTTTTTAGCTCTGATCACATAAGGGATCCTCTTTTTAATCCTAATATGGTGAGAGACAGGCAGCAAGCCATACTCAAAGGACTTTCAGAGCTACGACAGGTAATAGTTGACTTCAGTGTAGTAAAGTTGCTGTTGAATTTTTCATAAACACTGATATTGCATCATTTACCATTGATCATTTGTGTTGCATTTTTCACTCAAGATTACATTCTGCCTGCACTGTTTCCATCTTGTAAAAAGACAAAAAAGTTTCATTAAACATATTGCAATGTTGTTTATATGTAATGTACTTCTACATAATTCTCATATATTATGCTTCTGATGAACGTTTCTAAAGCTTTCAAAAAATATGAAATATTTAATAATTATAATAATAATAACAACAACAATAGTGTTGGAAGGAACCTTGGAGGTCTTCTAGTCCAACCCCCTGCTCAGGCAGGAAACCCTATACCATTTCAGACAAATAGTTGTCCAGTCTCTTCTTAAAAACTTTCAGTGCTGGAGCATTCACAACTTCTGGAAGCAAGTTGTTCCACCAATTAATTGTTCTAACTATTCTAACTCATTGGGAGGAAAATTGCTTCAAACTACTGGACATAACAGAACTATTCTGTTTTTTTATTTATAATCATATTTCTACATCTCAAACTGCAGAAATCATTCATAACACAGGGGAGACTGAATTCCATAGCATATTTTCTAGGAGACAGACACCAGATTTACAACCATTCTTCTATGATTAGAAAACTTTTTTTTAAGACATTTTATTGGGTTTTTTTTAAATTCTTAAGAAAAAGTACTCAGGACCCACCGTGGTGGTTGGGTGGTCAAGCTTTCAAAAGTAAAAATATATATAAACAACACAACTCAATAAATTTCACTATCCCCTCTCTATTCCCCTCAATTAACATAATACATTTAAATATTCCATTTCTATTTTAAATTTCTATCACTATTAAACCTGTATTATAACTTTATCAGTTTACAATTACAATAGTTTAGATTTAAAACAAGAAATTATCAATTCTAATTCTTAATCTCTCACATCCCTCGTTTTATCACCAAACTCATTTATTTCTTCTTCCACTACACAATAGATATCCTAATAGCAATAAAATATTGATCAGCCCTATATATATATGTAATCCCCAAAATCAATCCATCTCTTTAAAATAACAAGATAATATTAAACCTTAATTCATTCAAATTCATTAAACAAAGTTCAAATTTTCTCCAATTACTTATCATGCCTTATCATGTCTTTGTTGTCATACAAGAAATCCATCCTAGTAATTTAAAACATTCCATAAATTATTAAAAGCATCCCAATCTAAACAGTCATCATTTTTTCAATTCCAGTACATAATAATTTTCATATATTTCCCAAACACTACATAAATACAATCCAATACATTCTTAATCTGTTTAAAATATCTATTCTAATAATCACACTCCTGTATATATATACATATATGTATACATATACATACATACACACACACACACACACACATATATATATATATATATATTTAGTTGCTTCTAACTCTGAATCTTAATCCTTAAAACAATCCATAAATCCAGTATTGCCTTTTAATCCATTACACAGTTTTAGATTTCTCTTTTAAGTCTAATTCTAGGTTTTTTCCTGTACCAGGCAGGTTTCCATAAACACGCTTCCCTTTCAATCAGTAAGTCTATTTTTATTGCTTGGAATGGCCTTTGAAAAAATACAAGTCCCATCCTCTGCATCAGGCGTCTGTTTTTCTCCTCTTTAACATATCGTTGCTTTGTAGTTTCAAATCTCAATCTTTGCTTCTTCTGTTCCTCAAAGTTACAGATGAAAGGTTTGTAGGGTAAAATAAGCTCCTCTTTTATCTCAGTTGATTCCTCTTCTAATATAATTTGGTTTGTAAAATAGTCAAGTGTAGTCTGGTCATCCGTTTGAATGTTTGAAATGAAATTTCTAGATCTTAGTTCTGAAGTAGATTCTTTTAATATGGTACAAATTTCTGTAGTGGCCTCATGTATCTTTTCCAGTATACGCTTATTGTTTAATTGTGAATGCAAATTCTCCATTTTGATAGTAGTTAATAATAGTTTTTTGTTTTGTTTGTTTGTGGAGGCTGTATTTGATAAGAGTTAATCTATATCCACCCCTACAATTCCCACAGCTCAGCTTATCTTTTTCCAAAAATAATTTGAAGGTCAGGTCTGGTTTAACTTCAAAAAAATAACCAGAAGATGCAATATTAAATTTTCGCCACTAGATGTCCTCAGTAAGTTAAGAAAGAGTCTTTTCCAGACAGCATTGCTTTGTTTCTATCTTTAAAAATATAGTGTGAAAGAAGAAATAATCTTCCAACACCAGGTGATAGTACAGTTCTTAGCAGAACAAAAAAGAGAGAGATTTCTGTATCCCAAAAAATATGAAAGTAAATTTTAATCTTATAAAACGCTTTCTTTCCCAAAAATATAAAAGCTGCTTTCTCTAGCCAGGGAAATAATTCCAACAAGGCTCTTACAGGCAAAAAAACAAAGTCAAGTAGAGAGAGTAACAAGGAAAAAATCTCCCCGGATTCACCACGGGGGCTCTTAAAGCTTAGATGTTCTTGACTTGCGGTTTGAAGCAGCAGGATGATTGGCCATTTTACTGGCCGATCTTCTCTGTAGGCCCTCAGAGATCGCCCGGACAGCTGGAGGAGCCGCCGTTCCTCCGCAGCCGAGCCAAAGCCTCTTCGACGGAAGTTGCACTCTCCAGGGCAACTTTCGACCCATATAAGAGTCGACCAGCGGAGGGAAGGTTAGCCGCCGAGGAGACGAGTCTCTCCATATGACTAGAGTCGCCACAAACCAGAACCAGAAGTGATTAGAAAACATTTTTGCACTACATACTTACAAATATAATCCTAAAACTATGCAGTGTCCTTGTCCCAAAAACTGGTAGAAATTCCTTCTACAAATTTCCTTTCCTTCTTGTTATGAGTTAGTCTTCTTGAATAAAAAAGAAATTATAAATATGTTCATCTTTAGCTCTCCCAGTTTTGCATTAGCCACTATCCTCTTGCCTCTCTTGTTGATTAATATAGTGGTCAGGTCCTAGGAAAACATTCCAATCTTTCTGACATTTTGTAGGAATAGAACTATAGTAATGTCTTCCACTTCTAAAAGTTCTTGTATTACATGTTTTAATTTCAAATTATCAACATCAATATAACAGTATATATTCAACACTTTATGCTTTCTAAATGTTTAATATATGAAGTAATTTCCATTTTAAACATTGTTTCTGTTCTTTAATATTGAAGAATATTTGTATAATAAAGTCAATTGCAACAAAAATGTTTTTATTGTATAATAATGTTCAAAATGATACATTATATGTTCCTTCATTTAGGAGAATATCACTGTTCTTACTATTATTGTTCATTGCAGTCAGCCAGATGTTTAAACTGGATGTGGCCTTTTTATCCACTTATCAAGTCCTTCCCAAGGACCTTGGATAGGCAGATGTTCTTTTTTGACGTGTTAATGGTATTGCCAGGTCTTGTCGTCTGCTTTGCCTGCTATTTTTTTAATGTACCAGACATATAATACTTTGCCTTGCCATGTCTCTTCTATTCTTCATTTGGTCTTTCTTGTAGGCCAGTTAGGTCTCTCCAGTATGCAGTAGGCAGACTTCATGATGTGCTAGGTTCAATGCATCTTCTTCACTGTCCTTCAGATATTCTTCCAATGTTATTATTATTATATTTTAATTAATAACTAGCATTAATCTTTTTTAAAAGCCTTTTGAAAATGAGTTTCCATTACTCTTCTAATAAATATAACTCCCTTTAGCCAGCTGTAACTTGCAGTGCCTTTCAGAATACCCATTTATGATGGCAAGTAAAAATGTTATTGGCAAGTGGAAATGTTATTCATTTCCACTTACCATCATAAATCCAGAGCAGAAGGCAGCAACTAATACATTTGAAGCTGCTTGTTATGTACACTTTCCAGAATGGTGTAGATCCGTGGTGGCGAACCTATGCACGTGTGCCACAGGTGACACTCAGAGCCCTCTCTGTGGGCACTCACGCCATCGTCTCAGTCCTAGGCCTTCAGCTGGGTTTATAAAACCTTTTCGCTTTAGGCCTCTACCGCCATGTGCAAAAAAAAGGTTCACTCAATCAATCAATTTCAACTTCTCGCGGGGAAAAAAAAGATCTTGCAAAGTTGGAATTGATTGATTGAACTTTTTAGTCCCATCCAGTCTGCCTTCACTGCTGCAGCCATGTCCACCAATTGGCCATGCCCATCCAATGGGCCACACCCACCCAATGGGCCATGCCCACCCGGCACCAGACGATACGTAAATGGGTTTTGGGTTGCAATTTGGGCACTCGGTCTCCAAAAGGTTCGCCGTCACTGGTGTAGATCATTTATTATTTCAGATGTTTTAGTTTCCTGTATTCATTAGAAGCTTGGCAGAAATAGTCCTAGTTGCTGTTTTGGTGATTTTACCATCCAGTTGTTGTTTTAGCTGTTTGATGGCATCCACTCATTAAAGCTGCTCAGGCTTTTCATGTTGAAAAAAGTTTGAAGAAACAAATCATATATTTATGTTCAGGTTTCCATTACCTATTCCTATTTCTATTGTTTCACCTCTATATTTATAAATCATAGTATAGAAAAAATAGACTTGGCTACTAATCTTAACCTAGTTGTTTTTTGCATTGCTTACCTCAAAAAGAAATAAGGGGATGGATGGATGGATGGAGTTTTATATCCTCTTTAATACTTCTATATTTTTGTCCATACCATTTAGCAGCATAACCATTCTAGTTATTTATTTCTTAACTATAAATAGTCTTATTATTCTGTCTTAAGTATTTATGTTACTATTGTTCATGTATCTGGGAAAGATAAATTCCAAATGTGGCTAATGGAAATGTTCTACAATGGTAAAAGATAAAGTGTATTCATTGAGTCTATTCCTTTTTTCAGTGTAGGAAAATCAATTAAAGCATTCCTGACAGATGATAGTCCAGTCTTTGTTTCAGCTCATCTCACAAAGAGGAATGTACCAGCTCATAGTTGGTTCTAACTACTGTGGCCATTAGATTATTTTCTAACATTCATTGAGAATTTAAATCTTTAATTCTGTGCCTTGCATGCTAGGATGATTGGGGACAGGGTTTGACCTTCTTTATGGCATCCTTTCAGTTATTTGATGTGCTACCATGTCCCACCTCAAGGCTAAACACATCCAGCTCTTTCAGTCATAGGAATATTTTCAACAATGAATACCTTCCACATTCTTTGAACCAGTTTGCACTTTGGAAGTTTAATTTTTGCTGGCGGCAACTAAAATTGCATTTGTTTTTGTTGCAACCATATTACATTGTTGATTCTTAATCTGGTTGGAATCAACTATGATTCTAAATTAGATTCTAAGTTCAGACATCCTAATGCCAAGGTGAGGAAATTCCAGATGTTTGTAACTTGGGAAAGTTACACAAATTTCCAAAGTGAGTAGTTTTTCATGTGTTTCTATTTAATTTCATTCTTCTCTTCCCCTTTTTTTAATACAGCTGGAAATTGGATAATCCCTCCAACTCTTCATGCAGAACATTATGTAAAAATGGTAAATAGTGTTGCATCCTAATCAACTTCTTCTCTGAACTGATTATGAACCACTAATTATTACTGTCAGTGATTTTTGAATAAGCTGCATATTCTTTGAACACGTATTTTCAGTCTGTGTTTTCATTAAGTAACTAATACCCTGATTTCTTTTTCTTGAACATACCTAAAGAATCTTTTTGTCACTCTTGGTACAACCCAAACTCATTAGTGTTCGCCTTTCTTATACATCTGTACAGTTAGAAGTAACAAGTCTCTTATTTTGTAACCTCCGACTTTTTCCCATTGTCTGATGTTTTCAGATCTTCATAAACTTTTTTGTTAACCTAGTTTGGCCTCCATTTTTTCTTCACTGAATTTACTTGCAGTTGGGTTTTAAGAATTTTTTTTTAGGAACTCAGACCAGTTTGTAACAGATGCAAAATTGGGAGAGCTAAAGGTGGAGAATATATCTATAGTTTCTTTTTTTATTCAAGATCAACTCTTAACGAGATGGAAAGAAAAATTATGAAAACAATCCTCTATCTGCCACTTGAGATGACCATTTCATTTTGCCTAACCATTCTTTATTATTAAATTAATGTCATCTTTCTTACTTCTTTGGAACTGTCTAGTTGATGTGTTTTAAAACTTAGCAATAGTCTAACTTTGAAATATCTACATTTGTAATAGCTGCATTCACATAACACATCAAGCCATGGTCCCATCCTAATCTGTAATTGAACTCTTAACTTAATTGTTGAATATCCATATCCATTGCAAAAAGTGTATCAGGAAAAGATGGAAAAATCCAATTAGTCTTAAAGAAGAAAGGATTCATGACCAACTTCTAGACTTATATTTGTATCATCTTATTGGAAGATATTACCAATCAGGGGATCCAGTTGTAGGTAGTCTACATCTGTCCATTTCTTTAGAAGTCATCTGCTTAAAGGCCTCCCAGATAACCTTGCAAGATATGTTCGTCACTCTCTATGGGACCTGTCCAGCTGGGATCAAATTCTGAGCAGATTTAAATGATTTTATCTTCCAGATGTCTACAAAATTCCTCATAGCCTCCCTGTTCTTCCTAGTTATGTTCACTCAATGGGATCTTTAAAAGGACTGCTGGGTACAATTCTGCAGATGTAGTAACAAGTTTTTCACTGTGCTCATCAACATTTAGGCTGAAGCTTGAGCTCTTCCTGATTGGTGTGATTAATTTTCCACCAGCATCTTTCTGGGTGTTTCCTCTGCTGCTTCATTACCCAGAGCTCTCTGTTCAGCAAGGAGTTCCCTTGGAGAGCTGGGAGAGTCCACTTAGCACAATCTTGTCCAAGACCACTACTGCCCTTTTTCCCCAGTGAGCAACAGAAATCTTAGCTGGACTGCCCATTAGAGCTTTGGGAAGATCTTCAATCACCCGTTGAAAATCAAGTAATTCTTCAGATACATAGAGAAAACGGATCAAATGGGATTTATTTGTGGAAGTTGGTAGCACCAGTCAGTTCCAAAGCAATCAGAGCATGATCCAACTATGACAAGGACAGGTGTTAAAACCCTTAGTCTTGGATCATCTGCTGAGGAAATCAATAGATTTCAACAAACCAGGTAGGGATGCTGTTATAGTAGAGAAGTCCCAACCTGTCTCTAGAGCTCAACTTAACATTAACAAGGCGTTATATAGTTATCTGCAAGATAGTGCTCCTAAATGCTGTATCCTGAATGACAACAGCTATTCCACCTGAAATCCAGATGTTCATTATCTCAGAGAGATAAATTATCTGCCTTTCATTTAGGCCAGGCATGTCAAACTGCTGGCCCACAGGCCAGATACATCACACCGAAACCATGTCCACCCCATTGCCGGCAATGGGGAAAAAGTCCCGATATGTTGTGCGACGTCACGTGACATGAGTTCGACATGCCTGATTTAGGCTCTATAATTAAATGTGCAGTGAGAAGGGATCTCGATCAAGTTGTTTTGTTATATTAAATATTTGTACAGAAATATGCAACCTACTTTGTTAGGGGTATCAAGAGATAATTAGACATAGGTGTAATTTTATCTTCCAGGAAAAGCACCTGATCTTTAAATTTCATTGCCAACGTTTTCTACATGAGTGAAGAAGCAAATATTTTAAAATTGTTTAGCGTAAACAGAATATAATTGATAACTCTTTTCTAGGGTAACTTTATTATTACAGGTATCTACTGTAGGTCGGGTGTAGATTTATCATTGTTGTTTAAAATTGTTCAGTGTTTGTAAAAGCATATTCATTTATCTTTCCAGGGGCTCCTTCAGAAGCAGAAAGAACTGGAGACATGCTTTATTCCAAGTCGTATGACTCAAGAAGAAAACTTTATTTTACCGCTTTAAGAATTTCAGCTATGATGAATGGATGTTTTGCTGTGTTGGCACTTTATACTGTAATTATGAACCAAGTTTGTAGAATATGGGCTTTTGTATATTTAGGATAAACTTTCAGTAATGAATTTTATTTCACATGAAACTGTATGATAATGTGATCTGTTTACACAGTATTTGTATCACTAATTTAAATTGTATGTGAGTATTTAGCATGAAAAATAAAATACTTGAATTTTCAATACCCATGGCTACTGTGTTGCATTTTAATGTAAACAGCAATTCAGATACATAACCCATGTTTAAAAGCTGTTCCTATAAAAAAATTACTTAAATAATTTTAAACATACAGCAGTTTTGCATTTATAGGGAATTAATAAGCAAGAGCATAAAGAACTCCCAGAGTGTGATCTATATGCACAGAACCATAATGAATGCCAAGTAATTATTTTACATTAAAATGTTAAGACCACTTTATAAATATTTTACATGTGCCATGCTTTATACATTTTTAAAATGAGTTCTGAAACATGATTCTACAAACAGAAATCACAACTCAATTTTAATTAAAATGGGTTCTACTAAAAGTAATCTCAGAATTTAGAAAACGTGCCCAATAATGCCAGTAATTAGAACATGCTGTTGAGTATTTGCAAAGTTTAGAAGATAATCCTATCTTCCACTGTAATACTAGGTTTTTGGTTTTTAGTTTTTTAGACAGTAAAAGGATTAGATTTTCTAATTTGATTATTTCAGCTGTTTGCCAAACTATTCATTTTGATTATGATGATATAAATATCAAAATTGCCTCATTTTAAAAAGGACAAAAATTATGTCCATTATTATCTTGTTTCCTGCTATAATTGTGGTTTGTTGGATCCTGCTGTATTAGCATGTGTATGTATGTTCCTGATGTATGATATTATAGATAATGTAAGATAAACCACCATTTAATACAAACCAATTTACTGTGTTTACTCCTGGGTTATCACATGCAATAAGATTGTGCACGGTCTGACAGGTTATGTGTGTAGAGAGAGGAGAAACCCAGTGAGAGCTTGACCCAGAGCCAGAGAAGTTAAGGCTTGTGGTTTGTAGTGGTAGAAAGCAACATGGACTCCATCAGCGTAATGGGAGGAAGTTTCGTAGTATTTCGTCTTGAATGAGACAAACTACCTCTCCTGGTGTCTGAAAATGGAGATGTAACTCTGAAGGGAGTAGTTGTGGATGATAGTTACTGATCCACCTGCAGTCCTGGATAATGGGAACTGGAAAAAGAATGAGAAATCATTGGCCAGCATAATCCTGAGTTTGAAAGATAGCCAACTGATACACGTAAGGGCTCTCCAGTCTGCTAAAGAGTGCTGGAAAGCTTTGCACAGTGTACGTGAGGGAGACTGCGAGCAGCAAAGTAATGCTGACAAGAAAGCTATGTAAGGCCCAACTGAAACCGGGAAAGAGCATGTCTATGCATTTGCAGTCCATGAGAAAGACATTCTTAGAGTTAGAAGAGGAATGACTTTTATTGAGGTACACAAGGTATATGTGGTGCTCAGTTAATTGGACAATTCATGGGACATCCTAATGTCCAGTTTGGAGTCCATGCAAGACAGGGACTTAACCACGAGTTATTTGACTGGCTAGTTGCTGAAGGAGGAAAAGAAAAGGCTGGAAAGGCAGCAGAGAGGAAGTGGTGACAACTCAGACCAGGCCTAGAATTACAACGTCCAAAGATGCCAGCAGGGCAGCTGAGAACACTTGCATGGTGAAATGCTACTTCAAGTGTGGTTCTACAGAGCATCTTTAGAGACGCTGCCCTGAGAGGAGAAACAGAGGAGCAGCAAAACAAGATCATAGAGCTACACAACCAACATTTTTCCTGGCAACTTTCACTGAAGAAAACACTTGGTTGTTGGACAGTGGGGCAAGTCAACATATTGCAAAGGATACATATTTTCAAATCTAAGACCAGCTAAACCAGCGGTTCTCAACCTGTGGGTCGCGACCCCTTTTGGGGTCGAATGACTGTTTCACAGGAGTCACCTAAGACCATCGGAAAACACATATTTCCAATGGTCTTAGGAACCGAGACACCACTCCGCATCCATCTCCGCATGGCCTCCTCCACCATTTGCAGAGAGAGAGAGACAGAGGCACTTTCGCTTCTCTTCTCTCTCTCAGGCGGACTTACCTCCTGCTGGACTCCTGATTGGTCCTGTGCCCTGGTGCCCCACCCTCTGGGAGAAGCGCGGCCAGGGCCTCATGGTCTTGGAGCCGCCCAGGGAAGTCCCAGGATCCCTGTTGGGAGCGGCCCGCTGGAGGCTCCACTGAGCAGGCCAGCTCTCCCACAAGCCGCGGCCCAAGGGAGACCAGCCCCTGCGATCCCCAGCCAGCCTGACCATTGGCCCCGCTGGCCAGAAAGGCGCGCCGGAGTCCAGGCTGCTGGGAAGAAAGGAGATTCAGCAAAGGTAGGAGAGGAGAGCCGCCTCCTGGGGCCCAGTGCTGGCGGCAACTTCCTTGCCATCCTCTTCCTCCTCCCTCCTACTACCCCCAAGGTGGCTCGGGTGGGTGCCGGGGCAAGAAGGGTGCCTGGGGGGAGCAGCTGGGCTCGGGCTGGCAGGCCGCATGGCACCAGCTCCCACTGCGGCTCCATTGATGGACGGAGGACCAGGCCGGGCAGCAGGGGGCGGTGGGGATGGTGGTAGCGGTGGCCGCTGCTGCATCATCGGGGGTCCCAGCCATCCCCACGCTGCCTAGCCTGGTCCTATGACGCCCTCGCTAGAAGTTAGGTACGTACTAGTCTTAGTAGATGACTACACCAGATAAGCTATTAAAGAGCAAAATGGAAGTTCTTCAATAGTTAGGCAATGGGTGAATTTTGTAGAGCGATGATATGCCCATAAAGTATGCCAGCTGCAACAGACAAGGGAACAGAGTTCATATCTGGCAACTTCCAAAAGTGGCTAGGAACTTAGGCATAAGGGATAGGCATACGAATCCATACTCGCCAGCAGAAAATGGGGTGGCTGAATGGAGAAATGGCATATTGCAAACTATGAAAGATTCACAGCTGGCAGATGCAGGAATGAGTAAAACGTACTGGGGGGAAGCCATGAAAACAGCCAATTATCTAGTAAACGGTATGGAGTGTTGCTATAAATGAAACTCTATATTACCTATTGACAGAGTGTCTGTTGTCGTCCATAGAGAAATAATCCAGGAATGCCGGTACACGGTGCAATCATCAAAGGCTTTAATCTTTGACAAAACAAAAGTTAGCACTGGGAGTGGTTTGCTCCCAGTGCCTTACATAGGAAAGCCACACCCTGTATCCCTATTCCCAATTACCAACTAACATCCGTCCCAAGTGCATAAAAGTTCCTGCCTGCCTTGTCCACGACCTCCCCCAGATGCGGCCCCGCATCGCTGGCTTCCAACATGACTGGCAAACTCCTACACGACGACCTCGGCAGCCACCCGGCCCCTGCCAGGCCATTCAGATAAGAACACCCCAACACCACCCCCTAAGCTGTCCAGGCAGGCTTCTGACTCAGCCAAGGGATCCAGGCAGGCCTCTGTTCCTGCTGGTGGTTTTTTTATGGCAGCACCTACTGCTGGTGCTCCGCTGCACCTGCGCGTCAGCGCATGCTCGTGCTGTTTGCTCTCCCCCACTGGCGGCGACGCACAGTGGCTGCTGGAAGAAGATGGCGTCACGACTGCACCATGGTCCATCATCAGCTCACCAGCGTCGGGTTGGGGAAGCCGGAACCGCCCGATCTTCACGACAACTGAGGGGAAAAGACCGGAAGCTATGGTCCCCGGCCCGGACGAGGTGGTCGGTATGACGGTGGTTTTCGGTGGCTGTAGGCTCCCGTGTGCATCACCCCCCCACCTTCGAATGGCAAGCCCCATGGGGCTTGACATGCGGCCCCCTCTACCATGGCTCCTCCTGGAAAAGAAAGGGAGGATGAATATATATTATTGCACCCATCTTTCCCCGGCCTCCCTGGACACTTGCGGTGGAATGCTCGGATTAACCGGGGAGCGTTTATGTCTTCCTCCCCCACCCAGGTTGCTTCTGAGAGGGGGGTAGCCCTTCCACTTAAGGAGATACTGAACCCGCCCACGGCGAATCCGAGAATCCAGAACCTCTTGTACCTCATACTGAGAGTCCATGACCGGTCCTGGAGCCTTAGCCGTGAACGGGGTCCCATGTGCTGGTTTAAGGAGGTTACTGTGGAATACGGGATATACGCTCCCCAGGAACAAGGGCAGTCTCAACCAAATGGTCACTGGATTAATTACTTTGGTTATCTGGAACAGGCCTATATATTTTGGACCCAACTTTTTACAAGGTATCTTTAGTCGAAGGTATTTTGTGGATAAATACATCCAGTCCCCCACCCGAAATGGTTTATGATCTGCCCTCTTTCTGTCCGCCTGTACCTTTACCGCTTCCTCAGCCTTTGCTCATGCTTCCTTAACCCGTCCCCACAAACCTGCTACCTGCGACATCCACGTTTGAGGAGTGTGTGTACTTTCTACCCCTTGTGGCCATATGGGGATAGGAACGAACTCCATTCCATGTACTATCCGGAAGGGGGTAAACCCAGTACTGCTGTGAACCGTATTACTATATGCCACCTCAGCAAATGGTAGGAGATCCACCCAATCCGTTTGCTGATACGTGACATAGCTACGAAGATATCGCTCAACCATCGCATTTGCTCGCTCTGTCACCCCGTTGGTGCTGGGATGGTACGCCAAGCTAAGTCCTTGGGATGATCCCACCAGATGGATGAAATCACGCCAAAATTGGGCAGCGAATTGTACCCCTGATCTGAAATAATCCGTCGGGGTATTCCATGAAGGCGATAAATATGTTGTATAAAAAGTCTTGCTAGACAACGCAACGATAGCAATCCCTTACGTGGGATGAAGTGTGCCTGTTTGGAGAAAAGATCAACCACTATCCAAATCACGTTGTAGTGCCGATTTTCTGGTAGTTCTACCACGAAGTCCATGGCAATCTCTTCCCAGGGTCGGGATGGGTCGGCTACTTTTTGTAAAAGGCCCATTGGCTTCCCCGTTCGGGGCTTTGCACTGGCACATACATGGCACTCTTTTACATACTTTTCTACATCTGATTTCAGTCTTGGCCACCAAAACTGCCGGCACACTAGGTGCAAGGTCTTTAGAAATCCGAAATGGCCGGCCTGTTTGACATCGTGGCACCTCTGGAGA